GTCGCGGCACTTTTCTGGGCACCGTCGCCACGCTGACCTACGAATACGTATTCGATTTTATCACCGACGATTCCAGCGCACGCCTCCATCAGGCGCTCCGCGCGTGTCCGCCATTGTGTGCGTGTACATGGATGAATGCACTTTGCGACGCGATCGCCACAAGATACACGCACTTCCTATCTCCTTCGCCGCGTCGCGTCGCTTCGTCTTTTATGTCCCCTTTCGCTTGACAAATGCCGCCATCCGACGCAAAACCGCCGCGAAACTTTGCTGATTTATAGGGATACTCCCGCGCGCGTGCGTGTCCTGTAGATAAGAGAAATATAATTACGTAACGTGCAATCGGACATGCGCCGCGCTTCAGACTTCTTTCCGACGCGGCTCGCTGGCGGTTTCTCCTCTGGAAGGATTTAATTGTACGATAGCTAGAAAGAACGGCTCGAACAATGGAAAATTATAGACAACGGCTCCTACAAAGGTACACGTTGGATTTCGACGATAATTCGACATGTTTCCGAAATGGAAGCCGACTCGTGCGTTATCCGAGGACAGCCACGGTAACATTTCCATTCAGTTTCATACTCGCGCAAACGACGTGGGAATCTGATCGTCTTGTGTGGAATGGTAAAAGCGTTAGCGTATCGCGCGCACGTGCACGTGTGCATGTCAATTATCCGCGAAGTGACGTCGACGGGGAACGTTTAAAATACTACCTCTGTTCTTCTCCCATTAATATACTGCGCTGTATTTCCGGCTTTAACCTTCCGTAACTTCACGTATTCTTCCGGCCTTAACCTGCCTACGGTCTCTCAACGAAACTGACATTTTTCCGGTGCCATTAAAGTGTTACTGTTGCGTGAGCACTTTAATTAGAAACCATAGTACATGACCAGAGGCAGCTTTTCGTACATTCCTTTTAGATTATTTAACAATCGGTCTCATCGGACCAAACGGGAGATTTTACCAAGACTGTACCGAAATTTAGAAAAATTTCTCTCTTGTAACTTTTTCGTAACTTGGGGATCTCGTATCTTCGGTTTCTTGCTGGAAGATCCAACGTTTTTCATACAAAAAGGATTGCAAAGAGCAGTATTTTCTCTTTCATTTTGATTTTGATTTTGTTTTTATATTTTATATTTTGTTTGTATTTATATTTTCATTTAGTTTAATTTGTTTTATTTATTTTTTTTCTTTAAGTAATGCTGTATTCAATTTTTTCATCACACACTGTGATTCTCAACGGGTCTCACTCCGTAGGTTAAATAAATCTACATATATTTATCCACCTCTCTCTCCTTTTTTCTCAATGCCGCGTCTCCGTTTCTCATAATTAGCAATACGATATGAAGGAAATTGTGTTATGATTTCGTCATGAACTGTCGAATTCTATCGCAAAATTCGGCAGATACGTATTGGAACTCGATATTTTTGTACGACACACACACACACACATATCGACGCATCCTTCGGTAAAATCCTGTCGTAATCAACACCACCTGCGTAAACGATGTAAAAAAAGCTGCCGAAAACACTGTTCTCGATAGTTATATCACTCGTCTGCAGTTTTTACTGCAGTCCTCTCTCTCTCTCTCTCTCTCTCTCTCTCTCTTTCTTGCGGACGCCGTTTTCTCGAGTGTTTGACAAGAGCGCGTTTATCGATCGACACTCGCCGTCATTATATTTTCACGACAGACACTGTGAGAGAAGCAAGAAAAATTGCGAGTTTACAAAACAGATTTTTATTCGTTGCAAAGTCGCGAAGAAGATTTTAAAGCAACTGGTCGCCCTGCTTCTCGCCACATACGGATACGGAGGAATTCTGAATTTCCTGAAATTCTAATCAAACTTTTTCGCAGCGAGCCCGTAATCGACTGCGTGTTTTCGTAAAAATTACGGCTGCGAGCTGCGTGTCGCGCTCCCAAACGAATCCGAACTTCGACCCGACGCTGTCATCAAAACGAGAATAAACAAAAGTTGAATTCGTTCCGTCGAGGCGACTGTCGACCGACCCAAATGGATCTCGACGAACAACCTCGGGCCGAACTTTTAATCGGCAATTTCGCACAAAGCCCCGGCGAAATCGGTCGTGCTCGTTCGCCGCAAATAAAATACATCGTAACGACTGTTCGAGACAACAAGACCGTTACTCAGTAACGGGGCCAACTTGCGCGATTTAATATCGGGGGATCTCGCGGTCGACGTGCCGTTTGTAGAGAAACGCGGCGGAGGAAACGCGCGTCTATCGCGTTTAATTAACGTTCCGCGGCGACCAGAAATGAATTTTCCATTATGGGCCACTCGATGTTTCACATTGGACGTCGGCAGCACAAGGTGGACATGCATCGCTCTCAAAAAGGATAGCCCTGAAATCCGGAGACCGAATCTATTTCCCGAAAAGTCGCAATGTCGAAATCCGAATTCCCGTATCTATGCATTTGAGTACATGTCAGCTAGGTTCAAATGTGTGGATACTAACGGCCTGACTGTGCAACGAGACCCTGTTCCAATATTCCGATAAAATTGCATCGGACGAGTGCAAAAGTCTTGATGGGGTTCTCAAAGAGATACGGCTGATTTAATTTCAGGCGACACTTACAAAGTGTGCAGATGTATGACGCACCGAAGATAACAGATAAAACAATGGCGATTACTTGGTAGAATAAAAAAAAAATTGTTTTCAATAAAATTATTTAACTCATACTTTTCTCTATGACGAAATTCATCAAAACTTTTGCATTCATTCGACATTCCTGAGAATTGACATTCGGATTTCGGCATTACGTCTTTTCGGGCAATTGTTTTTTAAAATTTCTCACAGATCTTTTCCCGAGACATTGCACCGACACAGCACTAGCCTTCTTCTGTGCGAAACGTGTCGGGGAAAGGGTAATAGTGCCGATCGGGATTTAATATCCTTCGCAGACGGTGCATAAAGTTTTTACGATGTCGGCAGATTCTGTCGATTATTGTCCCGCGTTTCATTGTGGAAGGCCTACGCGAGTCTTCACAATCGACGAGAGATCGTCGCGATGAACCGTCGACGATTTACCGCACAATTTTCTTAAACCAGACGGCCGTTAACCGCTTCAGTTTATCCTCGTGAGCAAGTCGAGAAGAGAAAAGGATATGTATTTATTGCGAGGATATCGTTGACCAATGTGTCTCGTTAAACCGTAATCCGTCACGCGGGATTTTCGCTCGACGCTTCGATCGTTTAAATAATTTCACGCGCACATCTGTATGTAGATTTATCCTCGCTCATTCTTTCAATCTCGTGTATATTGCATTATGTTATGTTAAACAAATATTAAATTATTGATATCGATAACGCAATGTAGTTCAATTGCACTCATTGTGCCGCGTTACAATGTTGTTTCCGCTGCTCGAATTAAATGGTTCCTTGACGCGTAATGTTGTCGAACGATATTAATGTTATTGCGCCTCTACTTGAATTACATGTTGAATAATTTAAAAATCAAAATTTACGAACAAAAGGTAATTCAAGTATATATATATATATATTGAAGAAGTTGAAAAAGTTTGCCCCGTCTGGTAGAAAGAAATCGCCGAGAAATCATCGTTAAGGTCTACCTCGGATATTTCATTTTTTTGAGCATCCGAACTATTTTTGTATCTCCGAGAGCGGAATTCCGTCGCGACCGAGAGACTCGTTTATTCGAGATCTTTCGACACAATTGTGCTTCAGCCGCTTCCTTGTACTTTATTTAGCGCAACGCGATGCCGCACTGCTCCCTTACGGGCATTAATCACGACTTAGATTCCGCGCACAAAAGAATTTCATGTAACTCCCGACAAGCAAGTCTTGTTAGCCGTGCGTGTCAGACGCATGAAAGAACTTCATTCCGAAGGGCGATTCTCTCAAAAGATCGGCTAACAATGGCTGTCAGTTCTCGTCGTCGCGGCGACATCTGGTCCGAATGGCACAGGTCGCCAGCTACGGTGGATTTAATTGCGCTTTACTTATATCAGGATAAAGAGTCAACTGGAATCGCGCGGAAGAAGACGACGACGGCTGAGCGCTGAAATTCTCCGGGCGAAAAATCCGACGGACATTTTCAACTTGCGAAACTTCTCCGCGAAAGTCTCATTTCAGCGTATGCACACCCCTCGGTCATAAGTTCAGGAGTTCAGGGTTCAGGAGTGTTCGCTTCTTGAAGAATACGATAAGCTTCGCGTCTGCCTGTAATGCGTGAAGAAAAGCCACTATCGGAGGGAAAAAGTCTCGCCACTAATGGAGCAGAACATTCCGGTCGATTTATACCGACCGGACGAAAAATGGACGCAAAAAGCGACGGTGGGAGCCACGAAAACAGAACTTGCCGAGTCGGAATTTGGTTGTAGCATGGAAAGTCTCGAGATAATACAACGCAACGCACCCGAGTAGAAAATAAAGCAAAATGTAATCAATAACCGGCCAGGAGAAACGATGTTGCGTCTCTCGAATGTTGGTTTGTGCCTCTAACAATATTTCTTCCTCATCGACTCTCTCTCTCTCTCTCTCTCTCTCTCTCTCTTCATTGCTCTTAAGCCTCCAAATCCCGTCGATATTCTCCACTTTGATAACAAGAGGTAACAAAGTGGTAGAGAAGATTGTTTCATCTGCTCGGTAATCGCATTATTCGTCCGGTTTCTATTAATTATTAAATATTCTCTTATCGTATACATACAATCTATCCGCGGTTAAGTAAGTTATACAATTAATATCCTGTTTATTGAAATCAGCGTAGGTGTATATTAATGCACCTCATTAAGCTCCGAGCGACATTCGCGGGATCAACGTGGAAACAATTATTTTTTTCAGCTGCATACGCGCGACACGCAGCTGTCGATGCGCGTCAGAATTCTTTTCGATGTGCTGCGGTTTACACGCCGTGTCGCTTTCCGAAGTGGCGCGTACGATTCGCAAGATAAAAACACACGACGCCGCGCTCTCACGGTTGCGAATCCCGCAGTTTACGGGTGCCGTGTTCTGTTTGCAGGGTGGATATTCAATCAGCCCTGAAGAATGGGAGCTTTTATCAGTGCTGCAGCGGATTTTGCATCGACTTGCTGCAGAAGTTCTCCGAAGAGATCGGCTTCACTTACGAGCTCGTGAGGGTGGAGGACGGCAAGTGGGGTACTTTGGAGGTGAGCTCGAACGAAATTCATGCGAAAGGCGATCCTTACGGCAGACAAATGCGTCGTGTAATACGACGGGAGAATTTCCCCGGCGTGCGCTAAGCACTTCCGGTTTGGTTCTTCGCTTTTTCGGACGCGTGCTCGACGTTCCTATATTTTCGCGTCCGTCAGAGGGGAAGACCGAACCACAAAGGCAATACAAGGGAACTCGGAAGCAATCGATCGTTTCGGATCTTTATACGCTCGATAAGCTCGCCGAAGTGCGACATTGACACGTTTAGGTCGACAAAGAAGCAGCGACTTCGACCGTAATCTATTGAGTCTCCGTGAGACGACTCGCTCGTTCGCCGAACGGGAGGAAAGTGCTGCTATCGTTGCGATCTTTCAGATTCAGCACGTTATAAAGTGCAGCTGCAGCAGGAGGCAGGAGCAGCTGGCGCGCCAGTCGAATTTTCTCGTATTATGATAAATCTGCGCAGGCATGCACGTTGACCTAGCTATTTATGACTCTTATTACGGCGTGCACGCATGAATTGAACGTGCTTCCGACACGTGCAATTTCCGTCCGCATGCAACACAAAAGGTATTCCCGATGACACCTGCGACGAAACGCGTGTACGCGATTCGACAACGACTCGCGAGTGGTCCCGAAATGGATAATTTCCCGCTTATCGAGTGTTCTAATCACGTTATCGCGTTACTTTCATTGCGCGATAATAGAGCGCATTAAATACTGTAAGCATTAACTCCTACGCGAAAGAATATCGAACTTACGAGCGCAACGCGGAATTATTTTCAACTTCAGCCGATGAATATCGTTGTTTGAAACGGAAACATCATTTATTTCGCACGATATTTTCAAATTTATAAAGCAGTCGATCGGAAAATATAAATGTGTCTTCTCGTTGTAGAGAGATACGTAATTATATGTTAAACATTTATAAAAAATATTTACATTGAGAAATATAATACATTCAGTTCTTTTATCATATATTAATTTTCTCGTAAATACTCGTAAATTCACATGTGTGTAGAAAGTTTTGTAAAATTATATATGTATATTAATATGTTATCCTTTTCACCGTAAACACATGCTGAATAATAATCTGAAATACTTCTCGATATGTTTGTCAAATATCACGATTTATCGATCATCATGCGCAGAATGGGAAATGGAACGGGCTCATAGCCGATCTGGTGAATCGGAAGACCGACATGGTAATGACTTCGTTGACGATCAACTCCGAACGGGAAGCGGTTGTCGATTTCACCATACCCTATATGGAGACCGGTATCGCCATTGTCGTAGCGAAGAGAACAGGCATAATATCGCCCACCGCATTTCTAGGTGAGAATCGTGTTTGGAAAAAAAATTATTCCTCAACACTGAGGACAACATTTTAGGACGTTGCAGGATGTTCATTACTTACGGATTAACCGTGTCTCAAACACGTTCAGTGTTTAGTTATTCTTTCGCTCTTAATATCGAGGAATCAATTTTTAAAGCTAAAAAGCGTCTGTCGCCTGGAAAGTTGTTTCTGTCTTTTAAGTAAGAAAAAAACAATTCTTCAGCCCGAAGGATATTTATCGCTCACAAATCAACCGCATCTCTGAACCTGCATGTTATTATTCTGCGAGTCACCGTTGTCGTTAATTACAGAAAGAAATGTGAAACATCGAGCGTAAACGTAGATAAATCAGAGATATTTTGAAAAAAAAGAAGAAAAAAAAAAAGAAATGAAAACACCAGTCGTTACTGCCGCGTGCGCATATTCGGTGAAAAGAGATACGCGTCATCGCTGTCGACGTGTCGCGCGAAATACGTAACGTCGACGTCGGCGATATCGATCCGTTAAAGCGAAAGAGCGGCGCTTCGGATTGCACCTAATGATGCAATTTTCAGAACCGTTCGATACGGCTTCGTGGATGCTGGTGGTGATTGTTGCGATACACGCCGCGACCTTAATGATACTGCTCTTCGAATGGGCATCGCCTTCCGGTTTCGACATGAAGGTAAACCCTTCAGGCGCTGCGCAGAAACTGGTATCTTTTATTTCGCTTTTTATCAACTATGTATGTTCTCCATCTTGTTTCTCGCACCTTTACCTCTCTCGGCGCTCGGCTGCGAGTATGGTGTCGCGTCAGAACGTCAGAAAACGATGTTCCCTAATCCCGTGCATGCTCCGATCGTTGTTAGCCGAAGGTAAAAGAATAACGTTCTTTCAATCATGCGTTTGTTTCTAATTTGCAGTTGTTAGTCGTACGGTTGGTCGTATGCGTTCTTACACACAAAAGGATTTCCTTTCAAGGACTCGCATCTTTCGTTACTCGTGCAAACGACTTTGTTTTATCTAGTGGATTCTGTACTATAATGAAAGACTAGCTCAAGCGAGAAAAAACGAGACGAAGAATATAAGGAAGAAAGCTCTTCAAGTTGAAGACGTTGGTTACGTTCAGCGACATGTCAGATGTAAAGACATGCAACAGTGCTATAAGCTCCACAGCGATAATGGAGTTTATTGATGTTTGGTAAAGCTGAAGTTTACAGCACAAATCATAACGAATCGTTGACCAATCAAAATTCATTAGACGAAAAAACATATGACTCCCAAATTATCTGTTCTTCTTTATGGCATTAAAGCTGAGCTTTCCAATATACGTACGTAGTTATAGAGGTCACTAATTTTACCTGAATGTTTCACCCGCGCAGGATCCTTTTCAATGTTTTGGAGTATAATTATTTTACCACATGCTCACATTATTCGCACGATTATTACTCGGAAAAAAGTCACTCTCTCGTACACTGAGAAGAAAATAATCAACGTTACTAAAGTCATGGTTATTTTTGGCCTTAACTCGTATCTCGTCGTTGTTTCAACAAAACGCACACGGTTATTGTCGCCGACAAGACAGTGATACTTATTACAAAAATGAATCTCCCGACTATAATTTCACCGCTGTGCGATCACAAGTGCAGTCGCAAGTACCTTTGTCTCAGTGCACACGCCGACAATGTCATTCGAACTGGGACGAAGCAGCGTGCTCTTTGCCTCTGAATTTTTTTTCTCGTAAATGTTCGAGTTAAGCTTCGTGCTTGAAAAGGGGAAACGGCAATGAGACGTCAGTCTCTCTTTTCTGCAATGTATGCGCATAAACATTGATGTTTCCTCGCGTGCTGCTTGTTACGTACGCGACGCGACGCGAAATATTCATCGCGCTAATGCGACGTCGATTTTGCGCTTCTGCAGAGAAACCCATCGACAAATCATCGGTTCTCCTTCTGCCGCACGTACTGGCTGGTCTGGGCCGTATTATTTCAGGCTGCCGTCCATATCGACTCTCCCCGAGGATTCACAGCCAGGTCAGTGAAAAGACCCTCTCCATTCTCTCCGCCCACCTAGACCCGCCCGCTATCCCGACGAATTTTAATTACCGACCAGATATATAACTCGACAAATTAATCTTCCGCCTCTTCGCCTACCGGAGATCACTACGAGCGGACGCGGGAGAAAAATGTCCCCGGGCGAACGTTAGCGATAACCGTTGTAAAATGTAAATCACCTCGACGGTTCGCGAATCGTCAATCGTGCGCTCAAGTACGCTGAATGTAAATCAGCCGCTGCGCAAACGTCGCACCCAGCCCCCGATCTTTCGGCTGAATTTATTATTATTTCCTTTTATTTCCCGTCGCACGAAATAACAGAAACGTTTCGGAAGTCACCGTCGTACTCGAAGACAGATCCCGATTGCAAAAGCGAAGTACGAATTACAGCTTACCGATGCACGAGACTTAAAACTCGAGAGAAAAATGTATCATTTCCTCAATCCAGCCATCGACAGAGTATCCTCTTCACCCACAAATATCGGACGGAAAATTTCCATTGACGTTATCTGCAGTTTTTTTCACCTGCATGATAATATCCATAACATAATTTACACTGAAATGTCATTTCACACACGTGTGCGGGGTCATCCTCTATCAGACACTTTGTCAAGCAAATGACACTTCCTCCATAACATCCGCAAAAATTGCCCGACGCCTGCAACGTTCCTCCCGGCCGGGAATCCGATCCCAGGATTCTGACCCAGATTGGACGTTCGCGATATTCGCGTTTCGCGACATTCTCGAAGTCGTGCCCCGGCTAACGAAGATTCGATCTACGCTCCACGTAGATTTATGACGAACGTCTGGGCGTTGTTCGCCGTGGTGTTCCTCGCCATTTACACTGCCAATCTGGCTGCCTTCATGATCACGCGGGAGGAGTTCCACGAGTTCACCGGCGTGGACGACCACAGGCTCGCCAGGCCGTTCTCGCACAAGCCGATGTTCAAATTCGGCACCATACCGTGGAGCCACACGGATAGCACGCTGGCCAGGTACTTCAAGGAAATGCACGCCTACATGCTGGCCTTCAACAAGAGCACCGTTGCGGAGGGTATCGAGGCGGTGATCTCCGGGTGAGTAGACGCGTCGATGAGCTCTCGAGCTATCCGCCCCACCGACCGGCGAACCGAGGCAAGATCGAAGCGAATCGAGCCTAACGAGAGCAAGGACGGGCAATTTTTAGACGACGAAAGAACGGAGGAAAAAGGACCGTTTGGAAAATTCTCGTGTTAAGTCCTTAAATCGTTAAATCATTTGTACTTTCCGCAAACTGTAAAACGACGACCCGGCTCTGACATAAAGCTTTGGATTCGAGAGTCCCCATGGACCCGATGCGAGTATCCTGTTGTGACTTCTCCGCAGGGAAATGGACGCGTTCATTTACGACGGCACAGTTTTGGACTACTTGGTCTCCCAGGACGAGGATTGCCGGTTGCTGACGGTCGGCTCCTGGTACGCCATGACGGGCTACGGCATCGCGTTCTCCCGGAACTCCAAGTACCTGCAAATGTTCAACAAACGACTGTTGGAATATAGAGACAACGGTACTGCTGTCACAGCTGCGAAATCACTCGCGCTCGTTTCGTCGTTAAAATGCCGTCACGTGTTGCGTCATCGCAACGCGTGCGATTCGCTTGTCTGTAAACAGCTTCTCGTCCCGATCGATTTATCACGGCGCGCCTACCTACACGTCGTCCCGTTGAATTCCAGGAGATCTGGAGCGATTAAGGAGATACTGGATGACCGGAACGTGCAAGCCGGGCAAGGAAGTACAAAAGAGCAGCGATCCGCTCGCTCTCGAGCAATTCTTGAGCGCGTTTCTCCTGTTGATGATGGGAATTCTCCTGGCGGCGGTCTTCCTATTTCTGGAGTATGTGTACTTCAAGTACATCAGGCAACACCTCGCAAAAAGTGACGACGGCGGCACCTGCGCTCTTTTCAGTCTGGTGAGCACTGTCGCTCTCTTAATATCGCGAGAATCTCGTCGTAATTTGCCGCGAAACTGGGTCGTTCTTCATGGTTTTATTATTAACACGACGACGGGTGTTGGAATATTGACGATACTCGGAGGAAAAGTAACTCGGTGTAAACGAACATCTTCGATAATCGAAAGAGCGCGATGCAATTTTTACAATCTGTAATATTGATAACGGATTTGTATGAAGGTACGGATTTAAACGCATTGGAATTTAATGAAAATACATTACCGGGCGATTTGTACATTTGTACATAGATCGACAACGATCGTTAAAATGATCGAGGAAAATCTTTTAACATAATTAGAACTTGATGTAAAATTAAACGGAGTTGTATAAAATACATAAAATGAATATCGAATCGACATAAAATTATTATTTCTCGGACAATAGCTCGATGTACATCGCTGTTATCCCGCTGACATTTAGTTTCTTTTTCCTTTCTCTTTTATACAAATACCATGTCGCCATTATGTGAAAATTAATGTTGAAATTCTTCTCTGACATAAAATCATGTCAGACAAGAGAATTTTATCATGTTACGTGAGGTACGCAGGAGTGCCTGAATAGTTGAAATTTGCGCTACTATAATTAGCGAATTCCTCCGCCTTTTTTCTTCGTGTGAAAGCGAAAAAAGAAGCGTCTCTTTTTTCACTTCTCTCGTTCATACCAGATTCTGCATGCTTTGCGAGAGCGGGAAAGGTACACACAGTCTGAGGGCAAGCCCGCGCGAGCATACAGAATGACTCTCTCTCTCTCTCTCTCTTTCGTTTTCAAAGAGCGTGGGGAAGTCCTTGACCTTCCGCGGCGCGGTGTACGAGACGCAGGATATTTTGAGGCACCACAGATGCAAGGACCCGATCTGCGACACCCACTTGTGGAAGGTCAAACACGAGCTCGACATGGCCAAGATCAGGATACGGCAGCTCGAGAAGGATCTCGAGGCCCACGGAATAAAGCCGACCCAGACCAAGTACGCTCCGCTCTCTCGTCCTAATGTCGTCTAATTCCCTATTGAGCTTACTCGACTCGACTGTATGTGTGCGTGCGTGCGTGCGTGCGTGCGTGCGTGTGTGTGTGTGTGTGCGTGGGTGTGCGCGCGCGCGTGATAGAGAGAAGAGGGAGAGATATTTGCAATGCGATCGAGCGTAGGAGAGTCTCCCCGTCCCCGGATTGAATCGCACAGTTTACGAAGACGCGGAGGCTCATTTTCCCTCTCCGGGGAGATCAGCCGCGCTATTCGATTAACCTCCGAAGCTCGGTCGCATAATAATCCGATGAGCCGTCGTTCCCTCGTGAGCAATTCCGTTAATCGACGACCGGTTCTTTATTTCTCGTTCCTTCTTCCTTTTGTTGCTTTCCTCTCGTTTGCGTGCGCGCCGGGCAGAAGAAGCTCGCGAGAGATTCGATCAACGCGCGGCGGACTTGCGCGGCGAAAGCGCATTTCGCGCGACTGATCGGCGTGTCGGCAACGCAATTAATCTTTCAACGCGTCGGGACTCGTCGGCTCGTGAAGGTTACGTCGCTGAGGGAATAATTTAATTGCCGCTGTTATCTCACGGCTGGTAATGTGTACGCACGCGTGCGCATCGCGACGCGATGTGCGATTGAGAATAAAAGTGGGCCAGCGATGCATAATTTCTAAATGCGATAACATTCCTATCCGATTTCGCGCGCCGTTGCACCCGGATCAATACGATTCCGTGCTATAAATCCGATTTCGTTCCTGCATCGCGAGTGTTTCGCGAAATGTCGCGAGGATACGCGGAGACGGAAAATTCCCGCAAGGGACGATCCGAGGTGTACACTGACGGAGAGAATGGTTAAAAATATTTATTCAGCCACTAACATATTCATACTTGCACCAATACGTACATACCTTTCACCCTGAGAAAAGTTTGTTTTCAAGTAAGAAAATGTACGTTTTTTTCTTTTCTTTTTAGATCTGTAGCACAGATCACAAAAGCTATTATTGTCTATTTTATTTAAAAAAAGGATTCAGATTTTTAAGTGAATATATATATATATATATGTTATTAGTGCCCAAATATCTTTTGTTTGTTACACGGTTTTTCTTCTCACCGCAGCAACGGTTGTTGAAACAACAGGATCTGAAAATCCCTTCGACAAACATTCGATGATCCTTTGTCCTAGCGACAATTAATATGACACGGCTGTGTGATCGATACGTCCTACCGATGCAGGCTACCGACATTGAAAGATTAATCGGCGCGGCGTGACGCGACGGTCAGAATTTGTCACGGGAGAACGCGACGGCTGCGGCACACAATCGCCGGGCGGTCGCATTCCGCCGTCACTTTCGCTCCCTGGATTACGATACTCGTTTTCGCGCTTTCGCGGGACGATACTTTACCGCAGAGCGCTGTCGCTTGTACCCCATCTCCGAAAAGCGAAAGCCCTGCTCTAGAAAGCTTTCTTTTACCCCTCTTCACGCTCCCTTCGCATCCCGTATACGCTCTCTTCTACCCGGAAGTTACTTCGTTCGTTCTCGCAAAGCGGAAGTGAACCCGTAACAAGAGTCTACGCATGCAGTTGCATACAGCTCTCTCTACTCTACTTGTCTTTCTTGTAATATCTTCGGAAACGAACTTACGCTCGGTACGCCCCGTGCAAATCCCCGCGTTAAAGTTTAATCGCTGCGAAAATCGTTGTCGCAGCTGTGTTGTCGTCGCGCGTGAGGCAGCGCCGGCGAATAAGCCCGCTCCATCGTCTCCCGATGGGGGACGAGTGTGATTCGCGGACCGAGCTTAAGTAGTGTAACCTACTTTCTAAAGTCACTTGGAGTATTGCTCGTGCACAGCATGCACCTGTCTAATAATATACAGAGCGGAACGTGCGTTTTCGACGGGACGTCTAATATATATCGATATACGTTTTGTAACGCGACGTTGGAAGTCTTGCATCAATGTCGCGCTTTATTTGCGCGTCTTATCGCAGCCGGAAATCCCCTTTGAAATGTTGCTCGATGCGCGCGCGATACGATGTCATAAGATGCGACGTCGAGGCATCGCGATCGAGATGAGCGCAGCAATTTTTGCTCTTGCGCTCAACGTTGTTGCTCGATCCGGTCCGGTCTAGACTAGTGTCTACTTTGCACGTCCCGTAATTCGTGCCCGTTGTTTACACAACGTTATCCTTTTCATGCAAATCGTCGCAAGTTTCTTCTCAGCGGAAATGCCGAGGCAAGAGCGGCGGGGCTCCCCGGACGATCGGACGGATAACAAAATTACCCTCTTCGACTGATTTCAAATGGACTTCACCTCGGCGGAGTGAAGTTTTAATTCGGAGACTTACCTACTCGAAGATTCAGATAAGCTTGCTGTGTTGAGAATTAAATGATCGCTGTAGAAACGATGATCCTCCTCGACGTTTTCGTCGAGAGAGACGGGATCGGCGAAAGTTCCTCCGGGAAGCAGCGCTGTGCGGACAATGGACGCAGATTACGAGACGCGTATAAAAGATGCGGCACGAAGGGCAGGAAAATGTGTCCGATCCGAAAGGGCGCCCGATCGAAAGCGCGCGTTCCGCCGCTATTATTACGTTCGGTAAAATGTATATATCTATATAATATACATCATGTACATATATTACGCTTACGTACGTACGTTAACATCGTATCGATTCTTAGCACACGCATTTGATTTCTTGTCCGTGTCTGTGACTATCACACGCTCACTGCGTAGATACAATTGGAAAAATCTGTTCGTCTCGGAGAACCTTCGAAATCAAAGCTATCCGTGCCGAGCACTCCGTTTCGAGAAATACGCTCGGGAAGGGACACTTCCACGCCGGATGAAGTGTCGCCGCCACGCCGGCGTGTCGCGTCGAGGGAAGCGATGGGAGGGGGGAGGGGAAGGGTTTCTTTTCGGGGCCGTGTTAAGGGAATAATATCGGGGGCTCGACGGTGAGAAGGGAGCCTGGCACATATCTACGTCGGCTTTTTTAAAGGAGGAAAACCGGAAGTCTCGGCTGGTGGCGAAGATGGTTCCAAAGCTCGGACCGCCACTCACAACCGGAGCCACTGGCGGTGGAGGCTCCGCATCCGCTACCGCCGTACTTCGATTCGTAAGTCCGCAACGCCAAACCACACGTAAGAGCGTCCAGTGACGTAGGAACCGTGTCACCGGCAGACATTCCTCCCTTAATTATCCCTTCCGGCAAACTCGATGCACGATCGATGCGTCGAGAGAAATTGGGGGAACTCATTCGGCACACTGTGCGATATTCGGACAGGAACTTTGAACGAATCGCCCGAGGAGCGAAAGCTGTCCGCCTCGTTGCATTGATTGATACTCGTCGACTCACACGGAACACGAAAATAAGAGAAACAACCGTCTACGCTGCCTACTCGCTCTATCACGGATCATCTGTCTTGCTTCCCTTCCTTTCGACGGACCAGGAAACCTCGCGTCTTGCAGCACGCGTATCGCGCTGCTGGCTGGTGCACGTGACTGGTCGAACGGTTGTTTCAATTTAACAATTACTAACGATTGACTACGATGTACCGTTAGCAGATAAATTAACCAGTTATTTGTCAATCCGACAGGATTGAGCATTTATTGCTTTAACGAACAGTTATATTCGACTTTGCAACTGATGTGAAATTTGTTGGTCTGATTGGTGTGTGCTCTTCATCTCGGCTGAATCTAGAAGCGTATTCAAGATTGTTTAAAAATTGTGGACTACGACTAGGGCTTAAGACAGTGACAGCACTTCCACCCCGTCACAAAAGAGAACTAACAAACAATTCAAGCGCTACAATGTATCCGCTAATTATTCGGCCATTCGGTTATCAGGTTAAGGTTATATTGTCCTTCTTAAGACGGATGTTGATGAAAATAACTGTTTAGTTCATATTAACCCTTTTTTCCCCAAATTTGACGACAGTTACTAATGTTATTTTATCGATGTCGTTACAACTATTGATTGACAAGAGTTATGGGAAATAACGCCCATCATTACTGCTGACGCATCGCCCTGATGGGGCGAGACAGCCATGCATATAGCGCGCAAATTGTTTATCCGCCATTTATCTCGAAACATGAGAAACCTCGGGAAACGTTCGCTCGCGCATTATCGTCACAACGATCGCGTCGTATTCGCTCGTACTCGCGCTCAATAATGAATTACAGCATTAACGTTCCTACGTCACTGCGATCGATCTCACAGGGTGTAGAGGAAAGTCGTTCCAGCGATCACGACTCGGCGCGATCCCGCGAGGCTCTGTTGTTTCGTGAAGTCGCGCGACCTCCGCGTTCCCCGCGGCCAATCTTTTTTAATAGTCGGGAGAAAGAGAATGCGTGATGAGGGCGGAGGCAGAGAAAAACAGAGAGACAAACAGAAAAAAGGGAAGAAGAGAGAAAGAAAGAAAGAAAGAAAGAGAAACACAGAGAGAGAGAGAGAGAGAGAGAGAGAGAGAAGAAAAGAGAGAAAATGAGAAAAGAATGAGAGGGAGAGGGAGAAAACGAGAGAGACGCCGAGCGTCACGCGGATCGACGACGACGGCAGACCTCGCTTAAAGAGATCAATAGGTAGAATCGCAGGGATCGTAGAAATTTTTACCTAGCCGCTTCTCGCTTCAGTAGATCAGTAGATCACGTATATCTGCATACGTATATCAGACGCATATTACAAGTATACACACGTTCTATATGTATCTCTCCTTCACACACTTTCTTCTTACGTACTTACTTTCGTTCGTTATTATTCTTATCACATGTATCCACGGATCTCTTTATCTCAATGTGCCCAAAAGCATGGAGCATGCGACACAGGAGAGTACACGGGGTGAGCGAGAGGGAGGGGGAGGGAATTTAGAGTCGCTCTCAGATGGCCGACGTCAGCGTGTCGATGCTGTGCGTGAGATGCACATTATACCAGTAATTACCAGTGGTGGCTTGTGGTGATTGATCGATTAATTACCTATAATGCCTACGAGACGACAGCGAGACGATGACGAGGACGTGGAGAGGAAATTAGTTCGGGGTTGCTGGAATGTCCAGAAAGGGCCGTGGCGAGGACGACGGAGGGCGAAGACGGCGGAGCATGAACGAATTTAACTTTATATATATATATATATATATATATATATACGTACACACATACACATACATACATATATCTATCTGTATTTATATATGTACACGTGTAGGCGACTTTCGCGTCGTCACACCACGACGATGGTGTAATCCGCCGGATCGTTTATATTCAGGTATATCGACGCCGTCGAGGTCGCCCGTCCGAGGGACATGAGCAGAAACCACGTGGTCAGCACGGAATACTTGCCCGATAGGTTCTTGCCCACAGAGATTTACAGGTGAGGACAATAAAGGATTAAACAGGGGATTGGCGAACGAAGTGCTGGCCGCTTAAACGTGCTTTAATCCACTGTGAAGCGCGTTGCAAAACACTGTCGTTCGTTGAGAGCGTCCGATAAAGGCTCACTGTAAAATGTAATCTTCTGTTCTTTCTCTCTCTTTCTCCCTCCCCCCCCCCTCTCTCTCTCTCTCTCTCTCTATCCGGTCATACCGTTATAAAATTGTATACGAGCCTTAGGTACGCTCTAATTTTAACGCTACCTTTGATAAATAATGCGAAACGCGTTATATAACATCGTGTAAAATTCACCGACGCTCCAGCTATGCGCGTGTTTTGCATTTAGATGCGATGAGATTTTCCAAGTGCTGAAAACACGACGAGATTTTTATTCATCCGCTGGTAACGAAGTAAAATTCCTCACATTACCTTGAAGTAATCTTTAGTTATTTTATTATCAGTTATATATATTGCATATTCTTTTAACTTGTAATAAATTATAACAGACTTTTAATCATATTCTTATCAGTGCTATTTGACATATTTGAAGCTTCGAATCTTCAAACTCTATTCGTAAATGCCAAACATCGAAATTCATTATAAGATTAATTTGAGGGAACGCATCCAGATTCCGCGCAATTAATATTTGAGTGTTTGAGTGTTCAGATCTTAAGATATTCGCATTTTAGAGAATTTCTTTCTCCCGATATAACGCCTGGAAGCTTCAGAAATTCAAGACTTCCGAGAAACCGAGGCTTCAATAATTTACAACTCTAATCCTTGCAACTGTTTATAATTTATTCATCATATTCACCTTATAGCAATTTCTTCGTTTCACCCTGTTTCGTCATTATGTTATCCCTTTTCCGACATATCGCGCGCGCTCATTCTGCAACTCATCTAAAAATTCGCGCGAAGCCGCTTGGCGGGCCCGCAGGAATAAACGCTGTCGACTGTCTCCCGCAGGATCCCGGACAACAACACGGCCAGGACGGAGATCGCCGAGATCGAGACAGTTCTGTGATCGTAAGAGGATCAGCTTCAGTGGTCCAGCCACGCGGCACCGGAAACGGAGGCGCGGAAGCGGACGCACTGGTGCGGCCACCAAGTCCCCGGAAACGGCGCGACCTAAAGGTCGTGTCGCGCTCCTGCCATGAACAACGAGCCCCTCCCATGCCACACATCGACCTCTCGCTCGCCCGAAGACGCTGGAGCATCCTCCCGACGCCGGCATTGTCCTCTCGGCACTGTTTCCGTCTGGCGCGCGTACTCGCGCGAGGAGGAGGAACGCCTCAGTGGCTATCGACGGTCGAGGGTCGAGCAGCGACCAAGAAAGAAGCCACATGACTCGAAGATCACCATGACTCGAGAAAGTGCACTTGTTGACTTTTGCGTCACGTTCCCGAGAACGTCGCGTCCTCCGGCACACACCGGAAGCTGTGTATCGGAACGAACGCACGCACGCGCACGCACGTTCATTCGCTCGCTCGCTCGCTCGCTCGCTCGCTCGCCCTACCGATAACGGTGAACGCTGCGAGGAAAGAACGTCGTAGACCCCTCTGAATCTTCGAAGGGACACTCGAAGTCACCGGTTTCCGGTGCTCGATGGGATTCGATGGGGTTTGGTAAAAGAGGAGAAAAATGATGAGAGAGGAAAGAGGAAAGAAAAAGTAACGCGCCGAAACGACGACCAAGTCGTCGGCCCGCGCGCTCACGTAATTGTGTGCACGTGTAAAGATTCTTTTCGAAATTTCAATTTGTGCCTAAAATCGCCTGGACGCGACCCGCGATCACGGATCTGCGCGCCCGGATAATCGACCGGAGCCGATACAAGCGCGTTGGGGTACGGCCGACGTAACAGTAATCGATCGACGATAACAAAGCGAGAGCCAGAATTGTTTCTGAGAATAGAAGAATGCTTGTTACGGATTATGCTTTGCGATTCTTTTTGTGTTTATCAATCATGCTTCATGTATTTTCGTTTCATTAAATCTCTTGCCTTCTTTCGGGATATCCGTGTGCGCTTTCGGTAAACGCGAAACGATAATTCACGCATAAAATTCCAGACGAATTGTAAAATATATGCTCCTTCCAGCTGATTATTTATTTCAGCTTGCAGTTTTATCCCGTGTTGTTTCAAATTTTGATCCCCTCTGAACTGTTCTTCTTTTATTTGCTTGAAGAAATCGTAGGAGAAAATTCAACGAAGATTAATCGGGAAAGATTCAATGAGGTGTTGCGCGACGATAGCTGGAACCAAGATTACTCGCGGTAGGTAAAGGCACACATTTATTCAGGCACCAACAATGCAATAGATAGTTATGAAATTCCTAAATCTTTTAAGAAGAACGCGCACTCCACTTTGTACGAACTCGTGCCAGTTTCCAAAGTGTCGTACACAGCGATCGTACATGTCGACGCGCTGGTGATCGACGTGTAACGATGAGGAAAATCTAAAAACTGAAAGAAACTTAATCGATATCTTGGTGGAAAATGTCAATGTGTACCATACGAAGTAACTAAACATGATAACTATAAACATATGTGTCGGATAAAAAAGTTAGTGTAAATGAGAGGGGGAGAGAGAGAGAGAGAGAGAGAGAAGTCGGTATGACTACAAAAATATAATATGACACGTATACATACATATACATATATATTTAATATTGTCAACAATGAAATATTCTAAAGAAGAACATACTTTGAGGACGTAATATGCTCAAACAAAAAAGTAATATACAAATACAAGATAAATCGAGGCACAATGCGCGTGCGTATCGCGGAGTGTCAGGACTCGTTATTTGAGATCGAAATGGGATAAAGCTCAGAAGGAAGCAAATAGCAGAAAAAAAATAGACTGCGCGGGAGGCGTACCAGCGAATCAAAAAAGATCACAAACGAAGAATTGGTGAAAAAGAGAGAGAGAAAAAAAAACACGAAACAACATAAGAAAATATTTTATATCTACACTATTACATATAACGGTGCCTGAAACTGAGATTTATATCGAGTGTGCAGGAAAGCGCGATCAATCGACAGCACTTATTATTCGTGTATGTTCCTCGGATATTTTGAGAACCTCTATATAGATTTTTGTAGATCGCGTGAATGTTTAATATATATCGTTGGGAGAGATGGCAGAATATTGTTGCTATTCTCGGCACGACGTCCTGGCAATCCGCATCCGGATGACGATTAAACTCGAGATTAAACGGACGGGAGAGCCCTCGAGCGAAGTCGAGTTTCTCGCGCGCATCGGAATCGAGAGAATTAGCGTTAAGATTTTATGACTTTACGTCGCTGTACATAATCGCATTGATCCATATGAGCTGTAAAGTGCACTGCAGGCCACAGTGTTCCTTCCCGACAGATTAGATTACGAAACACCCTGTCGCGACGTTACATGCAAGATAAACTCAAGAATTATGACGACGACGACGACGACGACGATGATGCGTAGGGAACGTTCGGGAAAAGCGTGAGTCGTCAAAAATTCTCGAGAAGCTGAAATCTCTGGTCCCTTCGTTTAATTCAATTTAAAAACTCCGACGCGAGCGCATAATTTATTTTGAATAAATACCCGTCACCGCAAACATAACTTTTATAGAAATGTTAATCGCACAGTGACAAGAGAGAGATTGAAATTCCTCGATGACTCACGCGTTTCCCAAATTTTCTGCACGTCATTATGCGAATAATTTACGTTAATTACTTACCAGTGACCAGGTTTTAAATTCCCGTGTACATTTTCGCAATGACACTCATGACTGCGTATGCGAAGATTTCGTTAAGTTTTCGTCCGCTAAGCACCGCTTCTATTGTACAAACTCGTGCTTTCTCCGGCTTGCACTGCATGTTAACGTTGTCTACGTGTAACAAGACGAAGAAAGGAAGAAAGAGGAAGAAGAAGAAGAAGAAAAGGGACAAAAGTCGGAGCGTGCTTCGAGGTGACGATGATTTCACACCGGAAATACGTCGAGATATCGCTCCCGATATTCACTCCATCGGCATCCCATCCGCCCTTGCGTTCAATCACCGATTTTCCGTTCTCACAATTATCGTGCAACCTGCATCGGGCGAGATCCTCGTCCCCTTCTCGCTCCCCCCCTCCCTTACCCACTCCTCCTCCTCCTTCCCTCAAAGAAATCGTCTCTCGGAGAATTTTAAGAGAGAAAATACGTTGCCGTCGAGAGAAACGTTGTTACTGTTGTTGTTAAAGATAAAAGGAAGTGTTATGTTATTGAATCGAGTGCGAGAGAGAGATAATTATAACCCTGTGAGAGGAATCCGTACGGCGTATTTTCGAGTGCGTCGTGATAATAATGGGGCCGGCAGGATCGCTCGAGTCCTTTACGCGTGCTCGGATATTCGCGCAAATCGTCGAGAAACGTTCCCGTGTGTTTGTACATACACGCGATCGTGCGTGCGCTGGAAAAGGAGAAAAAGAAAACGTCCAGGCTAAGAACTTTGCTTCTCTCTTTGTTTCCGATCTCACCGGAGAGAAATCGCGGGGACTGTGCGCGTCGATCGAGCTTGCTCTCGCGTTATCTCTCCCGTGATTTCCCGTCTCTTCCTTCACTCGCTCGATCTCGTCGAAACTTCTCACGCGGCTGCGTGTAATCGTAATTTATAACGACCCTCCGTTAATTCCCTGTGCTCAATAATAACGTCCATGTTGTTCACAGTTTCCGCGTTACGCTTTCGCACGAGCGCTGAAAATCTTCCATTTCCATTTCCACGAACACGTCGACGACTCTATATTCTCCCGCATTTCCCCCCCCCCCTCCCCCCCTCTCTCTCTCTCTCTCTCTTTCTCTGAAGACGCATGAAAGCGTGTCGGAGCCATTCAGCGCCTGAATCGTATTTGAGTGCTCCGACTACACCGATACTGCCAGCTTCATTGCGTTGCTTATAATTCTAATTAAACACCTAACAAGGTAACGCACCTCCTCGCGCGTTCATTCAAGTCACCCTCGCGAGTGCAAAGCGCGGGCCGCTCGTTCTTACGTTCTCGCGCGGTGCGTGCGAAATGAATTCGGTTCCGTCGCGAACGGAAACTCCAAATAAAATGCGAGGGAAATGCACGACGATCAGGCTTCGAGGGGAATTCTCGCGAGGCTTTCGGATCGTCGTAAGAGCGCGCATTCGTATGCGGTGGTACTTTCCCCGTTCGCCTTTACGCGAAAGTCGTCAGCAGCAGTGTGCTCGTGAGCCTCGATTACGTTGTTTCGCCCACTCGAGCGATCGCGTTCTCCTCTTCCTCGCGAAGACAAAGTTTCTCCTGCGTTTCTCCTCCTCTTCTCTCTGCCCGCGTCCCCGTCATTAACGTGTGCGCCCCATCATCCAGCAGCGGTGTCGCTCCAAAGTTGCACGCAAATTGTCTCCTCCGCTGTCGCAAAACTGCATGGAAAAAACATTGGCCAGATTAACGTAACAATGAGCATTATGAAGGAAGCAAAGTTTCTTAATCTTATAAGCCGAATTTGACTCACACGAATAAAAAATGCTGTTTCCTTCAACTCGAACGCGATTAATTCGGCCCTTAGAACTACGTAAATCTGGCTTGAATGCGTTCGATTCGCTCATCGCCACGTTGATTCACCGAATCCTTCGCGAAGCGATTGCGCGATCGATTGGATTCTTGGATTAATAATGTTGATGGCGACAAGTGTGTGCATGTATGTGTCGATCGATGTCAACGCGCGCACATGCGTGCGCGATGAAAATATCAACCTCCTCCTACGGAGAAATTGTAAAGTATCATCAACACGTTCTTTGTCACTTCCTCGAGCATAAGTTCGTAGATCGGAGTGTAATCATCAACGTGTGTCGATCAACGTGATCCATCGACGAAATGGCGGACGCGCGCGTCACGGTTTGATCGATTTGTTTTATAAGTGAGTATATTCTGTACTTATATATACCGCTGGCCTTTTGTGTCGAAAGTGATGTCGAAGCCAGGAGTCCAGAGCTACGTGCCGTTACCGATTACACTGCCCAACTTCGAGCTGATCCTTCCGTCGACGTCGAAGTAACGCGGTGTGCGAGCAGAAAACGAAATCGACCGCGGGATCGTGCTACGAATTGATTCGCATTTGTCGGACGTAGAATCCCTTCCTCCCCCCTCTCCATTTCACCATGAGTCACCATCGAAGGTAGCGAACGTGGCGAACAGCAACTTCGGACTCCGCGCGAAAATAGCGCAAGCTCTATGTTTCTTGCGACTTGTGCGACTCGCGCTGCTCCGAGTCGAGCCATAAGATGAATGTTCCAATCACTGACATCGTCCGAGTTTGTAACGAACAAACGAAGCTAAACTGTGTCGTGTCACTAAACGATGTTTCAGTCGTTTCTGAGGAAATATCGTAAATAAATCAGAATCTCTTTCCATAAATTCGGAAAATGTGGCGCACTGCACCAGATAGATATTCCAGCTCTCCGATAAAATAAACTCTGCGTATTTAACTTAACACTTGTGCCATCTAATTTACAAATTTATTTTCACGCGAGATTGTTTGGTCACTGATTAGGATATTCGTCTTGAGACTGAGTTCGATCGCATTAGCGGGAGTAACATTGCGATTCACGGCGGTATCATCAGTATCATCCGATGCACGAGAAGGTGACTTGTTCATTAATTGCAATTACGTAACGCATGACAGTCTCATTGTGGTCGTCGACCAATCGTTCGCTCGTTAAAGCGCGTATCATCGTAGTGCAACGTTAGTTCTATTGCAATCTCAGCTTGCTCTCAGCCCCTTAGCGCGCGTGATCATGCATCGTAATCTGCGGCTTTGCCGAGCGTTCCATCGCGTCGAATAAACGCGGCCGAAACCGATCGAGAATCGACGACCGTTTTGATTTGTAAAGGTGTAAAAGTCGTCTTGCAAACATGTAAGCGACAGGGATGACAGCGTGGATAAAATCCATCGTTGACGATGACTCGCCAGTCGTAGAAAGAGAGAGAGAGAGAGAGAGAGAGAGACTTGCGAAGCCCCGTAAAAAAAGAATCACACTGTGCGCACACACGAAATAGCGGCCTTAATCATTCCCAGTATCGTATAGTCGCTGCGAACTCTTCTCATGTACTTGTAAACTATTATACGTATTCTGAATCACTTAACAGAAGCGAGCTTAGATGACGAGGTCCCGCGCGGTCGTCGTCGAGCTCGAAGCCCCTCGCCTTGCAGACCTTCTGTCGCTAGCCGAAGCTCTTCCGATCACGATCCACCAGGTGATCGGTTTAAGCGGGTACGCAATAACAACAACAACAATAACAACAGCTACAATAACACCACCACCACAGCAAGATCCTATTGACATCCTGCTGACCGGAACGAGCAAACAATTTTTTCACTCCCATTCTCGAAGCCACGATAAGACTTCACACGCGACAAAAGTCGTCGATCATATCAACTGTTCCGATTAATTAATCGCTCGGTCGGAAATCTTACTTAGTAATCGCCACGGACACGTGTCGAGTCGCGCGTGAAGAAACGACGCGTCGTTCTTTCGCGCGAGAAAGGGTTGATTAATCCTCCTCTGTATCAAACTGCCTATATACGAACAATATACGTACACCCTCGGAATACGGATTACATATAAGAGTCATATACGCGTATGTGTGTGCATGTGTGTGTGTGTGTGTATGTGTGTCGAGGAAAGAATATACGACGTTCCCCCTGTTGCTTTTCGCATGTGAGACCATCGTGAGAACTTACGTTGCATTGCGCGAGGATCGATACAACGAATGAAGGGGGTGAGGATGGGCGAACGCCACCTTTTAGCGACTTATGATCACGATCGCTTCATTCCATTCGCGGAGTTGCCAGTCGAGGGTTACGTCGCACGACCAATCGATTCATTGGCCAAGACGCGATTAATTGTTCTCCTCACCGTCAGTCGGACGATTGCTCGCAGAGTCTCCTAGCCGTGATCTTGGCGACCCGATTATATCACACGCCGATATTCTGATCCGGACTGCGGACTGAGATTTCTCTTTCGTCCGAAATTACACGCGCGTCGGACAGATATTATCGCCGTGATTATCCTTGAGAAGTCCGCACTCGCGCGAATCAATGAAAGATTCAACAATTATGAATCATTCACCCGCCTATCGCTGTATCGAAACGGTTGCGGCTACGCTCTCGGAGCGCATTATATCTTAGGGAGAGAAAAAAGAGAGAGAGAGAGAGAGAGAGAGAGAACAAAGAAAGCAAGCAAGAAAGAAAGAAAGAACGAAGGGAAGAAGACAGAGAGAAAACAGCGAGAGAATTTAATTCTAATCCTAGCGATTAATTATTTAACGAAATCACCAAAGGCGTCGCGCCAAACGAGCGCGAGGAGGGGCGCGCGCGCCGTGTTGTGCCAACCGGAAAGGCCGCTGTGACGTCACAATTAGAGATATCGTGTGTGAGTATGTGTAATTAATACCGAAGAAGAAACAAACCAACAGCAGAAAAGATACATGGACTCGTGTGTGTGTGTGTGTGTGTGTGTATACTACTCGTCGGTGTATTTGTACATAACAACGGGAAGCCCTCCCCCCCCCCCCCCGCTCCACCGCTCGACGTGAATCCTCTCGTCCTTGTTTTCCGTCTCTCTACCGTCCCGTCGAGGACTAGACTTAGGATCCTTTAGGACTGTCCCTCTAGACGAGCCCCGACGGACAAGCGCCGCTCGGGGATGAAAGCTCGCGATTGGAACCCTTGCGGCAAATTAAGAGTTTCCCCTCCCCTCCGTCCCACACCTCCCTATCACTCTCTATCTCACTATCTACCTGCCTGTCTCTGTATCTTCGTCTGTCTCTTTTGAACACGCGGAAGGCAATTGTACTCGCGCGTTTCTAAACCGAGAGAGAGAAAGAGAGAGAGAGAGAGAGAGAGAGAGAGAGAGAGAGAGAGAAAGGGCAGTAGGAAGTCCTATGCGATATCGATGAGGATAATTCTAATTCAATGCGGAACGACGACGTTCGTGTGTTCCACGAGCGAGAAACGGGCGAGAGTGAAACTCGAACGAGACGAACGGGGTTGCTCCGCGAACTTCGAACATTTGTATTTGTTTGTAGCGTGCGCGCTTTTGCGGAACGCGCGAACGGCAATGGCTTAATAAGGAACATACGTGGCACGTGATTATATGTTGTTTCCAATAAAACATTGTTGTTTTATATACTACCACCGCTGCTACTCAATCAACCATCGCCCCCTGTCGCGCAGCCAGCCTACTTTCCCTCTCGAAGTCGCCTCATTTAATAATAATCACGACCCAACCACAATAACACTAATAATTTTTATTAACAAAGTAACTCTTCAATGTTTAGAAACAGCAACGATCCATTCGTGTCAACGATCATCCATGGGGGGAATACGCAGGCCTGAAGAATATGTGTGTTCTTCTCTCTCGAGTATAATTTAAATAAAAGCTTAGTGTTAGTTACCTTCTTGATACTTTCCGATATTTCTTTTTCACATCGCTCCATATCGCTTACGATTTATGTTTATTTCGAGCTACAGCTTCGTATTCCAGCTGTGATATTCCTAAGAGGGCGTAAGCGCTCGAGGAGATTTCTCTGCTACTCTAAATCTCGTGAAACACTTGATTTGGGTCTCGTCGGTGATTCAGTTAATAAACTCGAATTTATGTATGCGAATAACAATCATTATCATTAGGATTATCAATAACGGAACATATAGAAAACATCGCGATCTTGGTTCATCAGTCGCCGGTAAAGGTGGAAAAACGGGAACGTTAACGTTCATCGATTTTACGCGGGGGCGTAACTGGCATAAATAACCGCTGGTGCTGGTGAACTTAGATAAGCAGACATATTTCTGCTGCAAACTGGCTGTTATCGTGCTACCTCTGAGCGGCGCGCTATTTCAATGAACAAATGCAAATTGATTTTTATATTTTGCGAGCCGTCGTTCGAGGCCCGCCACGCTCTCATCTCCGCGAGCGCGCTGTAATCTCCTGGTAAAATAGATCTCTGTTTAAACAATGACCAATACGCGCCGTGTATCCCCGTGATTGCAATTTACACGAGTTTGAATTTACACAGTAGTCGTGCCGCGCGTTGGAAACGCATTACTCGCGAGATCGCACCGTAATTTACTCGGACTCAGCGTCCAGCGTGGAAACGACGTTACCGTGATTATTTTCTCGTCCGTTCCTCGTCGCAACCGGCGGGTCGAGATGACTACGTGAAACTACGATCTCTTCGAGAAGATTGTACAATCGCGCTGAAACTCGACGGAAAGTAAATTCGCCACAACGCTGCGACGGAGAACTCCAGGAGAACGCAAGTATTTCAATATCGGGCGTCAATCGGCCCGAATCGTGATTGGCTAAAATAATCAGCAGGCCAACGATCAGAATTAATCCATAGTCATATGTGCAATTACAAATGTTTAATCAACTGACGAAATTAATTATTAATCAGCGTCTGATCGATCGGACCGAAGCGGCCGATTTAAAACGGTCGATCTTCGTTATTCACTCCAAGTTAATTTTAATTATTTTATTCAGCAGAGAGTTTAATTGACTCAACGCCTGTAGCTTGTCTCATTGCATCGGAACCGTTTTACACTCCCCAAACATGCAAGACGGGCAGGCAACGTCAAAGATTTCACGCGGTATGCCGCATTACGACGGTTCGGGGCGGGGGGGGAGGGAGGGGGGAGGATGCCCGCTCGCCGTGAAAAACAAACCATGAAAAACAAACGCGTCCCCATCGCTGCATTGTACGCGCGTTGTTGCACATTACGGTATACTTTACGGTTTCCCTATGGAGCCACCGCGGCCGCTCCTTCGGCGAATCTGCATTTATTGCCATCTAAATAAAGTCCCGGTGGCATAAATTGCTCGTTACAGTGGACGGACCCAACGCGACGTTCTCTCGAAGAAAACAGATCTAAATGCAGCCAAAGTGCCGCGTCTCGTTCCCTCCGCCCCTCGTTTCATCTCGCTTCTCCCTGCTTTTTCCTTCTCCTCGTCTGCTTTACTTTTTGTTTCTCTTTTCGGGCCATACCTGCCAAACGGTCGAGCGGACCGGTGAATAATTAGCCGGTGAATCGCGCTCGCGCGGCCGATGAGAGGGAACGGGGACAGGCTGAAATACGCGAAAAATGTTTACCCGGCGCCCAATGGCCGTGTTATCACGGGTGATAACACACACACACACACACACAGACACAATTGCGCAAACGATATCACGCGTGTTTTCCAAGCCCGTGTATAAAATAGGCGAGCGGGAAACAATTGCGCGCGCGCGCGCGTATAGTTATGAATGTTTCATCTTCACGGTTTTAACAGCCGCGTCAGTAATGAATTTCGCGTAGATTCGTCTGCTTCCCCTCTTCCCTCCTTCATTCTCCTTCTATGCGCGCGTATTTGCCTCCTCTCTGTGTTAATTGTGGCTGCGTGTAATACGCTTCGATGCTGCAGCGCAATTTTCCCTGGCCCGTGGAAAATTGCAGAAGCGAGTCCGCGCGACGCGCGACTATGTTCCGCTCGATTACGGTAACGCGACTTGCGTTAACAACGTTATGTCTACGTCTATCGACGAAGCGTCTCTCTCATTACCGAAGCCCCCGGCCTCTCGTCTGTCCGTCCGTCCCTTCCGACGACCCTTTCAAACGAGCCGGTGCTGTTTCCTTCCAGCCTCAGCCCCCTCGCGAGGGGCGATTGTTGTTTCCCAGAAATAGGAAAAAATCGACGGAGCTACTAATTGGTTCTGTCAATCCGGACGAGCAGCGGAAGTGGCGGATACAAGTGAGGAGGCGGGTCTCGCCGACGGAAACGCCGACGGAGCACAGCTCATGTCGGCCGGAAAGATTCGTTACGGGACCACGGTTACATCGCGCAGCAGCTTCCATTAAGCCGGGGCATCGGGTTTCCTTCTTCTGCGCGCGTCGGCTAATAGCGTGTCGACATGGCTTTCGCGTTTGCATCGGATTATCCGACGCTACGAATGTCTGTGCGCGTCATTACCTCGGCATTATTGTATATCTCGAGGCGGGTCTCCGAAATAAATTCAATTCCTTTGCGGGATGTGACGAGCGGAGTATTAACGTCGCGTCTTGATTAAGACCCCTGGAACTCGCGGGATTCTCTTGGCGGAGCTTTGGAAAAATGTCCGCTGCGCCGGGAATAATATCTCGGTGTCTTCAAATTTTGCTGTTGTCGAGATTCGCCAAATCGATGCACTCTTGCACGGAGTAAGAAAAACGTTCGCGTTGAAATGCACACGGAGGAAAATATCAGAAATATCCGATTGTTAATTTTGTTATCCGATCAAATATCCGATCAAATATTAAATACACCGGATATTTGATAGGATAACGAAATTAACAATCGGACACTTCGGATATTGTTTCACAGTGCAACGGTGCGGTTCTTTTACTTCGATAGTGACACGGTGTCACGTCCATTTCACCGCAAAAGAGTTCTTTTTAGTGATTAATTTCTTGTTTCTGCTTTCTTGTTTTCTTTCTTTTTTTTTTTTCATCGAGTTTAACGATGAAACATGGAAAATCAGCGATCGCTATCGAACGTTACGGGATGACGGGGCAAATTCCCATCATTTTAACGTATACATCTTTCTTTCTTTCTCCATCTCCTTCTTTCTCTAAGCTCAACAATACGCAACACGATAATCGCAATAAGATAATAAAAATTCTACTCACACGCGTCTCTTCGAGAGAACTCTCGTATTTTATCAAAAAGACGCGCGTTGTTTATAAATATCGAAATTCCGCTGGTGCATGATTACGATAATAGAATAATAACATCACACGGCTCGGAGTTTATCGCCAAACATAGCGAATAAATAAATTAATTAAGAGACACATGTGATACGATACAAAACCGATTTCCAATAATTATGTACTGTACGAAAGTGCGTCATGAATTGCGGTTATTTACTAGCAAATAAGCAGAAAGGATGGCGGTCGGAAAAGACGAGTGTTTAATCGTCAGATTTTTCTTTAAATGCATCTTAACGGACAGATACAGTGATTTAAAGTATCGATGTATCGAGGTATAGTTTTGATTTATTATTTAACGCTAAATAATGCCATGTACAACGCCGTTTCTCTCTCTCTCTCTCTCTCTCTCTCTCTCTCTCTCTCTCTCTCTCTCTCTCACGCACACTTCCTCTTTGAAATTTCTAACGGTACGGCGAATATACATAGAATACAACGACGAATTCTCGTTTCATTTGCCACGGGAGCCAACTACCGCTCGTACGGGATCTATTACAACGCTTATTTATACCGCGACCTAATTAATGTACATCGCGGCCGTTATAATGTCGAACATGTAGGGGCTGTTCTATAATTTGCGCTCATTATTTGCACAGCGCTGTTTCTCGTGAGAATTATTAACAACTCTTCCGTGGCGAAAATGTCAAGGAAGTTCATTATTCATGATGGCTTTTTAACTTTCAACATAACGCGATCAAAATCCGTAACAGAATTAAAAGCCTGCTGAAGTAAAATTCACTTGTTGAAGTTGGTGGAAGAAAATAATTCTGTTATCCGTATCAGAACGTAAAGAGTGAAAATTTCGGGAATTAAAGTCCAACGAGAAATATTCGGAGAGATGTCGAGGAGCTGAAGTCCTTGATATTTCAAATGTTCCACAATGTTAAATATTCCAGAAAATTAATATTCGAGTACCTTAAGTGCTGGATGGAAACTGAGAATCTGAAAAATGCAGAACCGAGACTCTCAGAGTTCCAACTTCTCTCTCTCTCTCTCTCTCTCTCTCTCTCTCTCTCTCTCTCTCTCTCCGCGGATTTCAAGCGAGATTCAAGTTAATATTCCGAAGATCGTAAACGCACGTTAAACGGCCCGGCCGTTATCTTTCGACGAGTGTTCAGAATCGCCATGGATGATAACGGTTACGAGTGCGATGCTGCCTATCAAAGTGCATTTTACGGAGAAATCTCTAACGGTGAATATACATGGTAAGTACTTGAACTCTTGAACGACTGCTTCTCTCTCTCTCTCTCTCTCTCTCTCTCTCTCGAATACCGACGCGCGCGTTGCAGCATCGCGAGAGTCTTTTGGTCTGTTCGTGTGATACTAGCAACTAGCATTATGCGCGGCACAGGTCACTATCTATTTAACAAATGTATGTGTGCCCAGTACAAAACACACACACACACACACACACACACACACGCAATCTGCATACCTATATATACATGTATGTTACGTACGTGTATTGATATAAATTGTTAAAGTACAAGAAATTAAGATACGGTCGAGCTTAGATTAGTGGCTGTGTCGAAGGGAATAGAGCTTCGCTCGATCACCTGCTCCGTGATATTCGCGAAAAGTTGGCGAATTAATTCTGTCGCTTAACCGCTAGGTAACGTTGCTTGATTTGATTTCACATGCGAAAATACATCCGCAAGAGGATACGTCTGCGGAATATCTCTGCGAGTAGACACACATGAACTAACAAATGCCCGTGTCACATGTGTCGACGTAGCGATTTGTGCAATAATAATAATAATAATAATAATAATAATAGTAATAATAATTAATAACAACGACGTGTGTTAACTCCTACTATATGACCTACGTTTCATTGGATAGTTGATTAATCGATACGTGGTGTCAGCATCGCGTCAGAAACTCGAAAGTTTGTTGCGATCAAAGGATGGACGAGCGGATGAATTTAGCAGCGATTCCATATAAATTGCACAGGGGAGATTTGCAAAAATAATTCGCGATAGCGATATTATATATCGCACTAACGCCGCTCCTTTGTCATCCACTCCTGAAATAGCAGCCGCGCCGTTGATATTTGCCGATCGATTCTTCGATCGTGAAAAAGATCGGTACGCGACAGCTTCTCTCTCTGGAGAATCGAAGTATCTCGTCAGGCAGAAGCTGCGCTCAATTTTGCCGAAAGAAACGTGCGAACAAGCGTCTCGAAACGCTGATGTGTCTAAGTTTGAATTCATTCGCGCGAGATCGTTTCTATTACCGTTTCTTTCTTTTTCCTCCCTCTTCTCTCTCTCTCTCTCTCTCTCTCTCTCTCTCTCTCTCTCTCTCTTCTCAAAAGTCAACGTCGTGAAATTTAAATGACCGAACAACGGAGAGTGAAGTTGTTCCACTTAATGAATTACTTCGTGCAGAAGATCGACGAGTTGCTTGCATCGCTGGCTCGATTGCGAATTATCGTCTTCTTCATCAATAACATCTCACTCTTCCTCCCGATTTACCGATCCACGAAAGAGACTTCTCGCGGAAGTACACAGCTATTTGTTACGCGTTCGACTTTTAATTCGAAAGACGGCCCGACGCTCGGTCAGTCGGCCGGAGTGGTTCTTTTTACAGAGAGAAGAACCGACCGAGTCGGACGTCATTTTGCACGTACGTACTCACGGTCACACAACAAACAAACACGCACATACACAGACACACAAATGCATCTCGTCACATTCTCGTGAATTCCGGGGCGCGAAACGTGACAGTGGTAGCGAACGGCTAATCGCGCGTCATTTCCAGTCCGAGCGCACACGTCACGTCAAATTTCTCTGCCTCGCCAAGTCCACCGAAACGAACGGCCGACCGATGAGAATGTCACACGCAGCTTCCTCGAGGTGATCCTCGAGGACAGGCGAATACCCCTGGCCACTGCCCGCGCATCCGAGTCCCTCCGGCCTGTCCCGCGAATTGATCACTGCACTTCACAGACGAAGAAAGTCTCGAAGCTGCAGGGGCTGTCGTTCCACTTGAGCCCTTTGCCGTCCCTGTTCCAGAGCTCGAGACAGTGCTCCTCCTCGCCGTTCTCGTATCTGGAATGCGAATGGTCCGCCGTCAAGCGGAATTCACAAACGTCGCACACGAGTGGCGGAAATCCTCACGAGAATAAATCGCCCTGCAACGCGTCTCGCGTCGATCCCGACGAAAAAATACAATCGAAATCGTTTCTTCCCGAGAGTTTCCGCTTTCCTCACCATCCCTTCGAATTGTTTCTCTTTCGCTTGGATTCTTGGACTAACGGATATATCGTTGAGAGAAATATCGCGATGTTAAACACAGACTGAGGAGAGCCGATGCACGTTATGAAAGGAAATGCATTTTTTACCGTTCTTTGGAAGATCTGTAGGAAAGGATAAGAATCATTGCGAATGTAAATAACACAGTTACAGTTACAGCTGAAACTATTCAAGAAGAAAATTCGGGGACTGAAAGTGAAAGTGGTTTTTATCCGTGGAGGGACAATTTTTCCCTTCCTCCTTCTTCGATAATGACGAGCAACGTCGCCGGCGCAGATAAATCAATACGAACACGCGCGCTCGCGCAGTAAAACGAGCCCGGACACCTATGTGATTTACGTCAATCATGTTGCGACCTCGGATCGCAGTCGTATATCCAATATCCGTAGGAATGTACATTGTCGGCGTTCGCGAGGCGGCCTTACCGGAAATTATTCGGCTCGCCGACGTTCCAGTTCTCAAAGGTGATCGGCCTGCCGTTGGCCATCCAGAAGAAAGTACCCTCCTCGGCCTGATCGGTGCCGGAGGTCCAAAAATGCTCATGGCCGAGTCCGAAGTCCTTGATATGCTTCTCGAGCCTGTCGTTCTCCTCCTGCGAGGCTATGCTCGCCAGATGCATCCCGTGATAACGGCAATATTGCGAGGCTCTGTACCAGTTCGCCTGCGAGAAGAGATACAGTAATGTTATTAAATCTCCGCCCTCCCTCCTTCCCCCGCCCCCTCGGGCCGCTACTCAGCCGCAACAGCATCGGTTAGGCGTGACGTTACCGCAGAAAGATACACAGGGAAAAATATCACTCTACTCCGCTGAGAAAAGTGAGTGCTCAGTTTACTTCCATCTTTTCAAGCAATGGTTACCTTCAACAGGGAATATTTTCTTGATGTAATATTTTTCAGATTTTCCACTCGAGCATCTCCTTCGAAGTCCTTTCAAATTTCCCGCAATTTTCAGTATTAGAAAAGTTCATTATTGAAGGAAAGAGACAGTATTTATTTTCTTTTCAAAAATATTGCAAAATTTATGAGATACTTCAAACAAATAATATTTGCTCGATTCGCTAACAATGATGATAAATAACAGACGCTGTTTATTAACGCCGGCTCTTTCAGCGAGATATTATTGACTACAGTGCGCTGCATTTATAACTGGAACGTCAGTTGCGAGGGAGTAAGGCATTTCAATGAAGAATGCACTCACTGTATTTTAGAAAGTACAAAGCGTAAAGCGTGACACAGTGAAACGTAAAAGGGATGCATCGAAGGGATGGGGAGAAACGTTTATGTTCTTGCGACTCGACGTCGTCGATAATTGTCGCTCGAGTATCGTTGCTCGTCGAGTATTAATCACTCGCAATGTGTATTCCGTATACGGATAATTAATAATTCACGCTTTAATAATTTAACAATGTTGTGCTGTATGAGCAGCGATTACAGAAAAGTGTTAAAATTAGAAGCGTTAAATTCCGCAATAATAACGGCCGCCGCGGGCGGAACATTTAAATTATTGGCAAATGTAAGTAAATTACGGGGTAGGTAAGCCACCCCATGCCATCATCATTATTATTATTATTAATATTATTATTAATATTATTATTATTATTATTATTATTACTATTACTCCTACTGCTAATACTACTACTACATATAGCCGAGTACGCTCGTCGATCGATTACAACGGATTGATCCGCATTAATAACCAACGGCACTCGGCAGGCGCATTGTGGGCGGTGATTAATATTCATGCTAAGGTTACATAATCGCCACTCCGGTATCGATATTTCGCGGGATCGTATATTCGAGGATATATATATATATATATATATATATATATATATATATTCGGGCTAATACAGTGTCGAGCAATGGAACCTGTTATTCCGCAACATGTCAATAATCCAGATTATCACGCGAAGGCGCGGACGCGCGCGCAGCGTCCGACGAGATTGACCGGGATTTTCTCGCGAATAATCGAAACCGCTTGCGAAATCGCTCGCGCGCAGAATGCGTGCCCGCGATTGTCCAGCGGCGAAGCCGCTGTATTTCACGACGGAGCGGGGCCGTATATGCGGAGAATGCACGAACGGAAGACGTGGCGGGTATTTTTCGCGCGTACCACCTCGAGGCGTGCGTTAAATCGCGATGCAAACGATTAAACGACTTTACGGATTTTACGACTAAACGCGCCCGCGTTACGCGAAGCGTCTGCACGAAGCGTCGTAAAACCGTCCGAAAGGTCGAGTCGTTTACAAGTGGGTAAATAAAGATAACACGCGTGCGAGACAAGAATCTCTCTGTCCCTCTGTCGTAATTTCTCGCGAATAAAAATCAGGAATTAATACGCCTCCGACGAGAAAACAGACACAGAATGCCGCGTTGACCTCCGCGAGAGAACTCCCCGATTTCAACACGGAGAGAAAAAGTGCTCGATGTTTTGGAAATTTTAATTCTTCGCGCGGCGTCGGGTGCATCTTTTTGATGCCCCGACAAGAAAGTGGCAGCGGCATGTAAGATTTATTATCACCAACGCTGCGTAGACACTAACGCGAATTAAAAAACGTGTATCATCGCACCAACACTTACCGTAAAGATTGTTCTCCCGCCGGTAATTTCTTTTCGCTATGCGGTTATATGGTTACGAAGAGCAAACATTTTTCCCCGCGGAGTTACTTCGCGGCTTTCCGGTGTACTTGCTCCGTACATCACCGCGCATCAATATGTATGCACTGCGTCCTCGGCCGGGAGAATTGATGAACTCGGTACTTATCAAAGCTGAAATCGCTTCGGGCCGTTTGCAGCGACACGGATATTTTCGCTAATAACTCGGACTCGCGATATTTTACGCGTCGAGGGAGGAGCCCGCCGAACTCGCGGCGAATTGATGTTTCGGCATTTCGGATATTACGCGGCGGTTATGTGTACATCGACGCATCGGCCGCGTGCGCAACCTGGCTCAGCTTCGCGCTACATTGTGTGTTTTTTACGGCCACGGCGTGTTGCGAAAGCGCGAGATCCGCCGGGGACTCGGCTCGGCGGGGCGATAGTCCTTTACGATCGTTCGAGCTTCCCAACAATGCGATACGTAGCGTTCAGAGCGAGCGTTTAAGTGCATTTCGCCGCAAAATTGCTTTGCGAGCTTAGTACAGACTGCGGCGAAAAAAGGTATCGTAGGACGTTCCTCAGGAGTGTACAAAACCGCGGGGACGATCGAGCGATTCTGATCCGCTCCGAAACTCGTCAGAATTATCGGGTCAACCAGAAAGTTTGGTGCGATTGTCCGTATTCTTCGGCGGTAAGCTGGCAACTCCTATGAAGAAGATGCACGATTGCCGGCGGGAGGTTAGCGGAAAATTAGGAGATAGCGATTTTAATTACTTCATCGGTGGACAATTGCTTTCATTAATTTTACTTTATTCGTTGACTTTTTATAATCGATTAGAAGATTGCGTTTAAAAGAAAATCGAAATCCAATTAAAAATTAAATTGCATTCGTAAATAAAATAAAAACCTGCGCCAATTACCGCGGCGCGAGAGAAAGTATATTTTTAAATAAAATAAAATAAAATTTCACTCTGTGAGAACGAACGCCGGACTTTTCGCGAGCGAGCCGATGGAAATGTCGCAGTTTACCCGCGACTGATTGCGCGACACATCTTTCTCTCGGCTACGAAATATAGGAGCAAATTAATTAATCTTTAAGAGAGAGAGAGAGAGACGCACACGGAGCGAGCGGTCGGGGCGAGCGCGAATATTCGCGATCTCTGAAGTTTCTTACCCGCATAATTAGGACGCGCTGGATACACACATCTTTGCCGAGCGGCTGGAATGTTAGCTGGGGATCTCGCGCGTCGGAGAACGACAATGCGGCGATGTTGTTGCGAAACACGCTCACGCAACTCGGCCACACTGCATTCCCGCCGAACGTACGCTGTGTGTGTGTGTGTGCAACTTTTGACGTGCGCTTATATTTCAGTAATTTCCGCGAGATCGCGAAATCAATCCACCTCCGTCTCTCGCGAGTCACGTTGGTCGAAATTTTGGCATATGACTATGTTATCGCAGTCAATTACAATTTACTACACGTCCGTTCCCTCGCGTTGTTCCCTCGCGAGTTCATTAGTGAAACGAAACACCCACTTTTATCACTTCGCCAACAATATTCGAGCGAGTAATGTAAAAAATGTCTAGTCGCTTTACGAGTTATTTAGAACGCTGTAACAAACAAAATCGCGAGCGAGCGGAGTGCCCGCGGGAAGTAATTACTGCGAGCCGGCGGGCTCGAATTTTGTGCGTTTCGCATATTTTGCGGGATCTCCCGCTAATGAAGCCCCCCCCCCTCTCTCTCTCTCTCTCTCTCTCTCTCTCTCTCTGACGGATATTAAACGCTGCGCGTTGGAGCCGAGGTTTGCGCGAATTAACATAGCCGGTAATTAACGCCGTCGGTAGCTAATGCCTGTGTAAATTATTTGTCTTAACCGTTCCAAGACTAACCTCCGTGTTAACATAATCCAACTTGAATCGTGCTACGCGCTAATTAATCAATACACGCGAGATACGTGCAGGAATTAATCTCGTTGAGCGGAGCCTCGCGAGCGACGAACGAGACAGCTTCCTCTCTCTCTCTCTCTCTCTCTCTCTCTCTCTCTCTTTCTCTCTTTGAAAAATCCGCAAAACCGAACGCGAAACTCGTCGGTCGGACCCGCTCGTCGTCATAGTCGTCATTGTTATCACCACCTCATCGCGACGCGATATCAACGTCTCTCTCCTCTTCAATTGACCCGCGAAGAGCCCGCGAGACGACTTCCTTCCTCGACGTCCGGCGGCTCGTTCTATCAGCCGCCACCCCTTGCGCCGACACTCGCGTTCGTTATACATCTCGCGCCTTCAACCCTCGCAGCTTCTTCTGTCTATTTACATTTCTCCCGCTACACGTTCACATTTAGTTGTTCGGCAAGAATTTATCCGAGAGCACGGTAAATATTGTCTCTCGCTCTGTCAACGTTAATGGCAGCGAATTTCACTCCCTCTCATCCTTGCCCACACCTTTTCTCCTCTCTCTCGCTCTCTCTCTCTCTCTCTCTCTCTCTCTCTCTCTCTCTCTCTTTCTCGCTCACGCTCCTGATGCTCTTTCGGCGGCGACTCGACCGAGGGAAGGACTCGGACGGTAGGAGGGGGGACGCGAAGGACGCGAAAAATCGCGCGTAACCCGGCGGGAATGCAAATAAAGTGCAATAAATAGAGCGCCATCGCGATTGCAGCCGCGCCGTTGCAGTTGCACACACACACGCACACACACACATACACTTTCCGCCGTTCGCATCACGCGGCGCGTTCGCCCGGCCGCTTGCGCCGAGCCCGGCACGAAATCGTCGTTACTCGTGCACGACGGCTCCGCTTTAAGCTCGCTGCATGTTCTTTAAACGAAACAGCAATCGTACGTGACGATCAATGGCAGAGTTATTGGCTCTCTCTCTCTCTCTCTCTCTCTCTCTCTCTCTCCTCGGCGCCGAGGCTGAGGTCCGCGAGCGAGCGAGCTGCGCCGATCTTCGCGCGCGACTCGAGATGAAGAATGAACGCGCGGAGCCGAAGAGCTGATAATTTCGAACATCGATGCATCACGAGGGGTGCGTGTCAGTCGGCGAGTGGGCGAAAAAAAAAGCGAGCGAGAGGAACGCTCGCTTTTCGCCGACGGGGAGACAAAAACGAGCGGAATATGCGAGCTGGTGTTTGACCGGCGCGTTTTTGTTGTTGTTATCGTTGCTGCTGTCGCTTTGTTGTTGCCGCTCTCCGCTGCCGTTACTATCGTCGCGGATATAATATGGTTGTCAATACTGCGGAGGCAGAAGTGGCAGAGAGTTCCGTGATATTTATTAAACATCGACGTTTTCATTCAACGGCGGTTAATGTAATTCGACGAAAATCGAATGGCGCTTCGATCGACCTCGGTTATCCGTATCGCGGATTTTCTCGGGCGTTCGTCGCTGCGTTCTCGGCGATTGACGTTATGCGCGGAGAGTCTCTAATTTCGCCCGTCGAGACGAGAACAGGGTCTCTCATTTTGCGCGACTGAACAACGAAAACTTATAACTCGAAGACGATATCTCTCTCTCTCTCTCTCTCTCTCTGTTATCGCCGGCTTAAACGCAGATGAACAGCTGAACGCGGCAGTTGTCTGCGCGATTAGGAATCTCCCGCGGAAATTCTCCCGTCCCTAAAACCGAGTTTTCCCCGCGCAACAGGAAATCAGTTAAACGAACCGAGTAGTAGTACATTCGCCCGTGCATAAAAACAACCCCGAGACGACCATGAGGACGAAATTCACCGCTTGGCTCGCGATGTAATTTACCGTAACGTGGATACAATCCCTGATGAATCGGATAAAGGCGGTGCCTTTGAGTCGCCAATCAAGCAACCGTCGGAGCAATTCGACACACCTTCGATGCATCGTCATTCGTCTTCGAGAAGCTAAGCAACGCGCGTTTCACCGCACGAGGTGGACAGTCAGCGCGCAAATCAAGTGGACAGATCAATCACAGAGCGAGCCGGAAACTTGACTTTCACCCCATAAGCGCTCGCTCCGAGTCGCCGAGCGGGTCGAGCCGAAAAAATCTCGCGCCGTCTGCCCGGATGCGACTCGCTCGAAAAGTCGGCCGCGACGAAGTCGGAGTGCAACGAGTGAAGACGTTTTGCAAGGTCCCTCGGTTAACGGCCCGAGCGCCGCGCCGGCCATTTATTTGCTTGCGAAACAAAGAGGGCTCGTCTTCGTTCGGCGCGATCCGATTAAAGGAGAGGGTCAAGAGGCACCGCCGGAGTGCCAGCGCCGGCGGCCACCTCTCGGGCTTTCCCCTTGCGAAAAGCATGCTCAAACGAGCGCCTTTACGTCACTTCCACCCGCCGCTCGAGCGAGACCGAGCAAGGCCGCAACCGTCGCTGCCGGATCCGCGGGATTGCGAAATCTGTGTTATGTGAAATGTGTTAATAGCGCGCTCGAGCCAGTAAAAGCGTCCGTATTATTAAGCCGCGTTCTCACTAGCCGTCTAAGCGATGCCAGACGGGCCTGACCATCAATCCCCAATCGAAAACGTCCTGCAACTTCTTCGCAATGGAATGTTCGCAGTACAACCGTCAACCATACCGATAAAAAAGAAAATTTTACCTTCGCCTGGACTGGATTCTCACTTCATTCGATGTAGATAGACAGAAGTCGATCCTCCGTCAATTTGGTTCTATTTTTTTTCTTTCTTAATTAAAAGGATCGAGACGCGTGACGGTGAGGAGACCGGATACTGTGAATGCACCGCAGGAAGAACGAAATTGCTCGAGTGAATAAGTGATAAAGAACGAGTCGAATGCTTCTTACTCTGGAAGGGAAAGGAGAATTTTCCGGCTCTTGGGCAAATTAAGTTCCAAGAGGTGAAACGCCAAACGCGTTTGGGTTGCAAGACAGCAGAATCTCCGTTTCTCGAATTCGGTCGGAAAAATAAGAAATTAGTGTTCTTCGTGCGAAATGCGTTTGACTCGCTCGTCGTCGTCGCGATGCTTCAAGTGATCTTGCTTCCTCCGTGCGACACAAAAATCAGGTGGCGGTCTGCGTCGGCCAGACCGACAGTGAGAATCCGGCCTTATCGGCAAAACGCCCGTAATATCAGGGCGAGTCTGATCGATGCCTCGAAGGACTCGCGCCGGAATTTCGCGGGTGCTAGCCGCCTGCGCGAGCGGGCAAAGGTAGTCGAGATTCGCGAGCGTGTTCGTACCATGAAAGAAGGAGGGCGTACTACTAGGTGGCGACGGGACGCCGTGCGTTCGGGACCTGCATCTTATTTTCGTTCCGAAGAGAGAAAAATATCGAGAGCGCGATCGGGAATCGAACCCGGGTCTTTCGCTTGCCGGGCGACTGCTCTGAACCAACCCACACAGTGGGCCAGGAGACTCGTTTTCGTGGCCAAAAGTCGGCAAACCCATTAAATTGTACAAAAATAAATTGTAATTATGCTAATGTATGGTCCTTTAGGTTGCTGATTCCAATTTTGAAGTCAAAATTTCAAAATTCCAAATGGCGAATCCAATATGGTGAAAGATTATTTAAAAAAAAATTATTGGATACACTCTAAACGTAGCATATAGAGGTTTTCGAGGATGCTAATTACGAATCTGTATCAAATATTGCAAAATCCAAAAAATAGTTAATCCAATATGGCGGACGATTATTTTGACTTTGCTGAAGTAAAAATTTTTAAATCCAACATTGGAGATTCAGTATCATTATTATTATTATTATCATTATTATTAATTTGCAAAATTGTCTATAAACAATGTAAACAGCAATAAATATATGTGAGAACTGCATCTATGTCTGATGATTTTGAAAGCAACTCAAGAATCTCTCGTTTGCTGAATTTCATTTTTTTAGAATAAAGTAAAAAATGGTAAATTGACATATAACGTAATGTATATATATATGTAATACAATAACACAAAAGAAATGATGAAACATAAAACATAAATTAGTTAGTTGTAAGTGTCCTATTGTAATCTTCTCCTTTACAAGACTCACGTAAAAGAGAATATGAGCTTAAGATATCTTGAGATGTGACATCGCACTGCGATGAATGAATTCAAAATCGGCAACTTCGGAACACTATTCTTATACAATTTGGAAACAAATTTGACAAAATCTCGAATTCTCGATAGTTTTTAGGATTTTCTATCTTATCATGTATTCAAGTAAGTGCAACTTATGGTATCGAATATGATTTCTCTCTGGCATTGTAATTAAAAGGCGCATATTCAAGTTACATCCTTACGAGCGAATTTGACGTGTCATATGATTGATTTCAGAGTGGAAGCTCAGAGAAGGTTTCATTTGAAATTGAGCAAATGTACTATAAGACTCGAAACTATTAATTTTATCAGACGAAACAAAGTCAATGTACCATGAAGAACTTGTATGTATTAGATAAAAATAACTATTTGTTCAATCTAAAGATACAAATGTACTGCTATAACATCTGATAAGATAAGATTCATAGCAAAGGGTGTATGAAAGTCATGGAACGTTAAAATTTGCAAACATAGTTTCTTACATTCACGTCCTTCCACAAGCAATACCAATTAACATAAAGAAACAATATTTCAGCATTTAGTGCAGGAAAGTGTATATAAATATATAATATCACATATGTTTGATTTCGTGCAAGTTCAAGAAATTGAATTTTGGCCAACCACAGTGGACTTCTGGCCCACCGTGCATCCGCGGGAAAAATCCGATCACCGTGAGGGGAGGGGGAGGGCCGTCGCGTGACGGATGATCCCGCGCTTCGGCGGAAGTGCGATTAGGTAGTATCAGAGCGCACGGACGTGATTCTCGTCTGTCGCGGGCGAATCTCGGCGCCGATATTGTTCCGCGTGCGCGCGAGTAATTGAGACAAACAAGCGCGCGCCGCCGCGGCGGACGAGATGAATTTCGGGCGCACGTATAGCGCGAGAAGTTGGTTTAGTCCGGCGCGAGAATATTCGGCTGTGTTTTTCAAGAGTTATAATTGAAGGAACACGACACGGTTTCGGCTCGATTCGCGGTTCGTTGCGACGGAAGGAGATCACCCGCGCACACGCGCATTGTGCGCCTCTCACGCGGTGCAAAAAAACGCTGACGTCAAACGTGACGAGAGCCTGTATACTGTAAAAAAATTTTCGTACGGAGCACGAGAATGTTTATACGTTACGAAAAAAGGTAACGGTACCGAAGTACGTTACAAAACGTGAAATCAATATATGCGTTACAAAAAATACATATAAACTGATCGATATCGAAACGTATAGTGTGTAGAATTCTCAGCGAGAGGAAGCCACGTTTTATGCTTCGCGCTCGTGGCTCGTCGCCTCTCCGGTATTCGGGTATCGCGACTGATGATAAGTTTGGCGTTTTCGCTACGTTTTGCAAGGGACTCCCTCAATCTTCCTTTATGTGCCGAATACTTTGCTTCCTCCCGATGAGTTTTATCCTCTTTCTCTTATCGCGCGAGCTTCTTTGCTGTACCATAACCGTCACCGGGGTCATACTGTTATCCGGGGGAAAAAAGTGAGAGAGAGAGAGAGAGAGAGAGAGAGAGAGAGAGAGGAGAGAGGGAGCGAGAGTCACCTACACTACACCGCAGCCGCCGGTCTCTGGCATTCGATGCACCGTAAAACGTCCGGAGGTGGCAAAGCCCACCCCCGGAAAGTTACGAGCTCGGAAATAATTTGATAAAGTCCGACGGGTCGGGTCGCCGGTTCGGTTAGATAAATCAACGTAACTGGCAGCAGCGATACCTTGAAGAAGATCCCTAGGTAGTATCTCTTCTCGCCCAGCTTTAGCAGCGGCATCGTCCATCTTGAAGCCGCCAAGCTGCTGCTGTGCTCGTCCACGCAGTTCGAACAGTCGTCTGCGAACGGAACGGAAAGGTTGGCTCGTTTAATTTTTCTTTTTTTCTTTTCTCTTGCTTTCTTTTCTGGAACGGAGAGATTATTAATATCGATACGCGTGTCTAGACGGGACGAGCGGTAAAAGTCAGTTCGTAAATTGAGACTGAGTGCAAGGTTGGTCTCCGGACGCTGAAAATGAAGATTTAAAGTAAGTGCAAGCGAGAATATATCCTTCCGTCACCTGAAGAACAGATTGATCGTACTTTGTGATGTTTACTTTGTAGAGATCAATTCTGTTCGGTGACGGCACAGCTATTCTGCGCAAAATAAAGGTCTTGTGTCAGGTCGCATTTTGCTGATAATTTTTGGATAGGTCTCGACATCGATCATCATGACGAGGTCGCAGGTTGTGGTGATTTTGTGGGTCTCGATTCGCTAAATTCATTTCGCAACGCGTCAACTTTCTCGAGTCTCCCCGCTTGGTGTCCATAAATTAACCGCGTTGTCGCGCGATGACTCATTACCTACCACGCTCCTTCGAAGTGCGCCCACCTTGAAAATCTCTCCAAACATTTCGCCTCTCTCGCGAATCATCTCCCAGCGCTCGCAGAAATGGTACCGCCGAGACATCCCGTTTACCGAGGAGAGATTTATGAGCTTAAACGCCTTGCGTAAACGTCCGCGTCCGACGCGTGTGGCTAAAATTGCGACGCGTCGATTCACAACGCGAAGAGAGCCGAATCTCGGCTGGCGAGTTAAATAACCGATGAAAATATAAACACATCAGCTTCTGTCTCTTTCGCAATCTCCTTCGCAAGTTTAACGTCACAACTACCGGCGATCCGGACGAGCCACTTTTACCGGAGGGCAGCCGATAGGTATTTATGGAAAACGTGCAGAAAACGCGGTTATTCAACGTCGATAAAATGTATAAAATGCAGCGCTTCAAGTTTGAGTAATTTTTTCACGAGAAAATACGGAAGAGTCACTTTCGACAGTTCTGCCGTTAAAAAGAGGAATCGAACTGTTTTCACTCGCGCTAATGCATATTGCATTTCTCACAGATGCGGGATGGAAAGAAATGCATTCAGACTTCGATTACAAATGTGCATTTGGCTGAAGAAATGCGTTTCAGCGGCACGAATAGCACTTCTCCCGCCATCACGATCGCCGTCTCGGGGCGGCGAATACTCGACGGAAATTATGCCGGCAATCGGAAACAATACGATATTCAGTTCGCCGTAGAGCGAGTTAATTTGTGCCGTAATGCGACGCGAGCCGAAACTCGCGCCGCGAACTCGCTTCGCTCGCCGTTGATCGCGAAAAGAGACGGAAAGAGACACGAAGTGAAATTCCAACCACTGCCGACACTGTCTTTTTCCCTTTCTCGGCCTTTGACTATCGGTGTTTTTTTTTTAATCCGCGGTGTAATCGGTTTCTCCGACCGCACGCGTGCACTAGGAAATTGCAGCTCCGACGACCGAGGACTTTGGCGATTGCAATTACGCAACGCGGAAGAGATCGCGCGGTTGCCTCGTTTGCGCGTTCGCGCAAAACGTCGTCGACGCGTTCGCAATGCGACGATGAAAATATCTCGTTACTCGCGAAAACGAGAATGAGGCTCGATCGAATGTGGCGCGATTTGCGTTCGTGTGCAGCCGCGCGACGACGAGCGCGCGGAAGAGTGGCTGCCGCGCGCTTTCTTTTCAGGGAAAGTATGGGCGTAATTATGCGCAGAACGCGGGCAGACAAGGCTGTATGACTGTGTTGTCGCGTTAAAACGAGACGTGTTTACGACGCGACGTGACGTTGATAAATATCTGACTGAGAGAATTACGAGAACATATTATTAGTATAGGGAGATTAATGCGCGTGTATTAATTATGATGGGCGCGCATTGTCCCGAGAAATCCAATCAAAATCTGAAAATTCCGAAACTGGCACAATTTCCCGAAAAATCGTGATATTTCGTGAATGTTCGACGGGCGATACGATACCCCGGAAATACAATTTCACCGAAGTTCACGATCGTTCCCAGGGGGAACTATTTTAGCCTGAAAACAGTGCGCACAGGTGCGCATTATTATTAATACGTTTGAGCACATTCTCTCTTGTACTCAAAGAGTTATTTATTTATTTATTTATTTGCAGGGAAACGTTGTCTCTTTCTATATATACAACATGTTATTTCTAAAAACTTGCAACTTGTACGCGTACGAAGAAAGACAAAACACAAAAATAACATTAATGATGCGGGAATGCCAGAATATAATTATTAACACGAAAACTCGCGATACAAAAGGGGAGGAAAGAAAAGGACAGAATATGAAAGAGTCTACACTTTTTAAATTTGAAGCCAGGCGGCATGCGATAAATATCTATCAAATTTATTATAAGCCCTTTCAATCAAAGACAATAGACTCTGAACTGATAATTCGAACACCCCGTACTGAGTGCATCCAGCTGCATAATAAGACAATTGCGATGAAAATGTACTTCGGGAAATTGTCTCGGTATTCAGATATCGCAATTACGATTTTTCGCGAAATTGTCCCACCTTTTTCAGGTTTCCATGCACCTTTTTTCCAGGACATCGCATGTGTCCCACCTAAACCATAAACCGTAAAGTATCTTCAGGCAATAAAACAAGTTCTGCGATACTGATAGCAACAATGGCAACTAGACGAGTTTCGATCGTGTTTGCGATTTTTCAACCCTTCGCTCAGACCGTTGCTGATTCCGTGTTTCCTGACACGCAAATAATCCTATTCACTCGAGTTCTCATTGTCGCGAGGTATCAGCGTATCGTGAATTAAACATCGAGCCGTAGGACATAAGCCGTAGGAGCGACGTAACCAAAGTACCCACGCGAATGTATTTACAATTCGATTGGCGATGACGATGCGGCGTCATCGCACGCGAAATTTCGCGTCGCGCTGTAAGCGCAAGCGAATTTCAGGCATCCCAGTAACCTTGATCGCAAATACGGATTACGAGGATACAAACGGCGCTTTGTGTCTCCCACATGACGGTCGCTTTCACCGGCCTCTCGCGCGGCTCTCGATGCGAGATACGATCCCGTTCGAAAGTTGCCCCTGCGACATAACTGCCGGGAGATGGACCGGCAGATAAAATCTGGAACGTTGTTTTCATTACGACAGGCCGGGCGACGGTCGAAAGTAATTAAGATCGTTCGCGCACCGCGCAGTTGCATGGTGCGTTGTTCCACCAATGAAGCAGCGTGAATCGCGGGGCAAAGTTCCCCGATCTCCGATTTTCGCGAAGTCGCTTCTTTCGTCACGCGAAAGGAACATTGAGCCAAACTATTGTTCCTTCAAGTCGAAACAGTCTCGATATTTCCTTTCCTTAATTTTTCGCTTCGATTTCGTTCGATTCGTTGGTTATTACTGGTTGTACTTGACTACGTAAAGACGAGCTTGACTTGCTCTATACATGAGAAAAATTGCGAGAAGAATTTGGATTCATCGTTAAATTCGCAGCATACGATAATGTAATTCTTCTTGTTGTACTGATGCAGCAATAACTTTGTTAAAAGTATTTCTCAGATTATCATATTGCATTTTACGAATAACACAACATTGTTTTGAGCACACATTTGGACACTTTGTCCAGAGTTTATTTCGTCATTTCAGCTGATAAATATGAGTGCCATGTAGCGCTCGTGAGGCAAGCAACCTTTGCGAGCCAACTTGCAAACGGAGTTGCTTCCAAATTTATGTACTCCCACTCATCTAGGAATATCTTCCTCATGAAAGAAAGAACAAAATGTCGAGACCGCTTTCAATAATCATACTTCCCCGGGCAAGAATGAAATAAATATTCGCGAAACGCATAATAAATCCAGGCATTTCTCAAGACAAGACTGCCCCGCGCGTCCTTTCCCTTTCTTCCCCTCTTCTCGGTTGTTCTTCTCATAAAATCCTTTTTTAGCGAAAACCGCGGAGACGAGGCCGCGACCTTTCGGCTGCGGAGGGCGGAGTGATGCGCGAAAATGGCGTTATTGCGTCACCGGGAATGCGAGTCACCGAAGTCTCCGTCGTCGTCGGTGCACGGAGGACGGGTATGATGCGATGCAGTACGTAATCTTACATGCGTTTGCTTTGCCGTCGCCGCCGCTGCTGCGGTGGAGGCTGTAAGGTTGAGTTACAACGGTTACACGAGCGGTTGCGTAAACCGCGCGCGCGCGTCTCCTCAGCCGCGATTCGCGAACTTTCAGCGACGATCCTGTCGGTTCTCTCCCTCTGTTCTGCCAACGACGACGATCACCACGACGGCGACGGCGACGATGGAATTTCTCCGGCTGCGGAGTCGTCGCCTGTGTTACGGCGACGACACCGCTTGCATTACACCGCTAATTGTCGCGGTAAATGAGCTGCACCCGCGCGCGTAAGCGGCTGAGCCGCTCTTCTCTCTCTCTCTCTCTCTCTCTCAGCCGCGCGGCGAGTCGTTTTTTCGCCCGTTCTCTTACGGCGCGCCGCGTTAATCTCACCGTTGTTAGCGAAATTCGTCGTTATACCGCGCGCTCCCGTCCGGCATTTTATGCGCTACTACGTAAAACGCCGGGTTGTAGCGCGCGCGTTACGAGGCGAGATACATTAACGGCTGTGATTTTCACATCGTTGGTGCGCTCGGTTGCGGAGAAGCAACCGAGAGGTCGGACATTTTTATTCCTGTATCACGTGGCTACCTGCATGTCCTCCAGGTCTTGCGTATTTTCCAAGTATCTCGATAATTTGCTTAGCCGCGGTCAAGTAATCAGATGACGCGCGGGCGACGTTAATCTCATCAGTGCGACGAATCATTTGGATTCGTGAGAAATTGCAATCCGCTTTCGATGGAACCTTTATTCTCTCTGCAGGAAGCTTCGCGGGTATGATCCTGCCGAGGATCACTAATCAGCGAAATCCTATTGTTCTCACACTGTTTCACGCCCGGCCGGACACTTGAGCCCTTATCGTGGAAAGCTACGACGCTGAGGATGTTAAAAGTGAATTTATGA